TTTTTTTGAGATGAAGCCTCACTCTGTCACCGAGGCTGGAGTGCAGTGGCGTGAGCTTGGCTCACTCTAACCTCTGCCTCCTGGGTTCAACCAATTCTCCTGTCTCAACCTCTCAAGTAGCTGGAATTACAGGCACATGCCACCATGCCCAGCTAGTTTTTGTATATTCAATAGAGACAGGGTTTCACCATGTTGGCCAAGCTGGTCTCGAACTGCTGACCTCAAGCAATCCACCTGCCTCAGCCTCCCAAAGTATTGGTATTACAGGTGTAAGCCACCGCACCTGGCCTCATTCATTATTTTCATGTTGACTCCAGATGACCCTGAGTCCAGGCTGCTTGAGATTGATTCTGGCTCAGCTCCTTACTCTGTGTCGTGGGCTAGTATTCAGCCTCTCTGTGCCTAAGTCCCTTTATCTACAAACAGGCTAATGGTAGCACCCGCCCATGAGGCTGGCCTGAGGGTTATGCGTGGTAAAGAACATAAAACTCTGAGTGGGTCACAGCACGGAGGAGGAGCTTGGGGTGCTGGCTTTGTTAGGCTGTCCCCGAGGAACCTGACCCCTGTTCTCTGTGTTCCTCTTCTCATCAGTTTCAAGAACAGACATTGTTGGCTCAGTGTGTCTGACCTGCCAAGATGAGCTGCTGGGGTCGGGGAGGGTGGGGTATTTCTGTGGCAAGCAGCGTGACTCAAGATGCAGAGTACAGGCTGGGAGTGTTGGCTCACACCTGTAATCCCAGCACTTTGTGAGGTCAAAGTGGGCGGATCACCAGAGGTCAGGAGTTCAAGACCAGCCTGGCCAACAGGGTGAAACGCCATCTCTACTAAATAAAAAAATTTTTAAAGATTAGCCAGGCGTGGTGGCATGCGCCTGTAGTCTCAGCTAGTCGGGAGGTTGAGGCCCGAGAATCACTTGAACCCAGGAGGTGGAGGTTGCAGTGAACCGAGATCACACCACTGCACTCCACCCTGGGCAACAAGAGTGAAACTTCATCTCGAAAAAAAAAAAAGATGCAGGGTACACCTGGTGACAGAGGACAGGTGGGAGAGAGGCTGCCTAGGCCAGATCTGACCCTGCCTTCCCCACCTCAGGTGAGCCGGGCCAGCTGGTGGGCCGTATCATCCAGAAAGACCCCCTGCGCCGCTTCGATGGGTACCTCAACCAGGGCGCTAACAACAAGAAGATTGCCAAGGACGTCTTCAAGAAGGGGGACCAGGCCTACCTTACCGGTGGGTCCACAGCCTGTCACAGCCCCTTCCCATGGGATAGGGTAGGAGGAAACCTTCTCCCACTTCCAGAGGACACCATCCCAGGACTCTCCCAGTCCTGGCCCTTGTGGTCAAATTCTTGACCCAGAGTTGGCCAGCCCCAGCCCTGCCTCATCCAGCCCTTCCCTAGGTGACGTCCTGGTGATGGATGAGCTTGGCTACGTGTACTTCCGAGACCGCACGGGGGACACGTTCCGCTGGAAAGGCGAGAACGTGTCCACCACCGAGGTGGAAGGCACACTCAGCCGCCTGCTGGACATGGCTGACGTGGCTGTGTATGGTGTGGAGGTGCCAGGTATGTGTGGGCAGCTGCAAGGTGTGGGTGGGGAGGCACCGCCCAGGGGCATCACCAGCTACTCACTGTCCACCCTGCCACCCCCAGGAACCGAGGGCCGGGCCGGAATGGCTGCCGTGGCCAGCCCCACTGGCAACTGTGACCTGGAGCAGTTTGCTCAGGTCCTGGCAAAGGAACTGCCCCTGTATGCGCGCCCTATCTTCCTGCGCCTCCTGCCTGAGCTGCACAAAACAGGTGTGTCCCGCCCCTGCTCCAGTTCTCGGATCCCAGGTCCCGTTTCCTTCTAGAGAGACCCGGTGGCTGTCATTTGACCTCTGCACACAGCCTGGCCGGGCAGTTGGTAAAGTGACATGCCTGTGTAGAGGTGAGCAGATGGGGCTGGCAGAGAGAGAGAGACAAACACATTGATCCTTAGTAGAACACATGTTATGTGCCAGGCACTGCACTAGGCCTCGGGATAGGGGTGGCGAGCTCTGACAGGACGTTTGCCTTCTTGGAGTTTTAGAGCAGGAGAGGGGCTGGCCTAGGACAAAGCATTTCAAAGATAAAGAATGAACCACATAATCTGTGATGAGATTAGAGGAAAACAGATAAAAAGAAAAATGAACCACAGAGCAAGGTGACAGGAAAGTGAAAGGAGGGACACTTGCGATGACTAGAAGTCTCCTCTGAGGAGGGGATGGTTCAGCTGAGACCTGAATGAAAGGGAGGACTTTAGGCTGGGCGCGGTGGCTCATGCCTGTAATCCCAGCACTTTGGGAGGCTGAGGTGGGCGGTTCACCTGAGGTCAGGAGTTCGAGACTAGCCTGGCCAACATGGTGAAACCCCATCTCTACTAAAAATACAAAATTAGCTGGGCATGGTGGTGTGTGCCTGTAATCCCAGCTACTCTGGAAGCTGAGGCAGGAGAATCGCTTGAACCTGGGAGGCAGAAGTTGCAATGAGCCAAGATCACACCACTGCCTGGGCGATGAGCAAAACTCCATCTCAAAAAAAAAAAAAGGGAGAACTTTATGGGGGTGGGAGGAAGGCACTCCAGACTGCGGGAATAGCCACTGTAAAGTCCCCGAGGCAGGAAGGAGCTCAGGTGCTGGAGGAATGAGAGGGCCCCTAAGGCTGCAGCCATGTGAGAGTGGCAGGCAGCGGCATGAAGTGGGAGTGAAGCAGCAGGGGCCAGAAGCCCAGGGCCTTGCAGGCCAGGGTAGGAGTTGGGACTGCCCCGGCGGCAGTAGGGAGCCACAGAAGCATCTCGGCAAGGCCGGGTATAGTAGCACATACCTGTAATCCTAGCACTTTGGGAGGCTGAGGCAGGCAGATCACCTGAGGTCAGGAGTTTAAGACCAGCCTGGCCAACATGGCAAAACCCTGTCTCTACTAAACATACAAAAATTAGCTGGCCAGGCACGGTAGTTCATGGCTGTAATCCCAGCTCTTTGGGAGGCTGAGGTGGGCAGATCATTTGAGGTCAGGAGTTCAAGACCAGCCTGGCCAACATGGTGGAATTCTGTCTCCACTAAAAATTTAAAAAAAAGGGCCGGGTGCGGTGGCTCACGCCTGTAATCCCAGCACTTTGGGAGGCCGAGGCGGGTGGATCACCAGGTCAAGAGATCGAGACCATCCTGGTCAACATGGTGAAACCCCGTCTCTACTAAAACTGCAAAAAATTAGCTGGGCATGGTGGCGTGTGCCTGTAATCCCAGCTACTCAGGAGGCTGAGGCAGGAGAATTGCCTGAACCCAGGAGGCGGAGGTTGTGGTGAGCCGAGATCGCGCCATTGCACTCCAGCCTGGGTAACAAGAGCGAAACTCCGTCTCAAAAAAAAAAAAAAAAAAAAAAAATAGGGGGGGGGGGGGGGGGGAAAAAAAAAAAAAAAAAAAATTTAGACTGGGCATGGTGGCTCACACCTGTAATTCCAGCACTTTGTGAGGCCAAGGCAGATGGATTGCCTGAGCTCAGGAGTTTGAGACCACCTAGGGCAACATGGTGAAACCCCATCTCTACAAAAAATATAAAACGTAGCCAGGCACAGTGGTACGCACCTACAGTCCTGGCTACTTGGGAGGCTGAGGTGGGAGGAATTGCTTGAGCCCAGGAGGTGGAGGCTGCAGTGAATTGAGATGGCATTACTGCATTCCAGCCTGGGCGATAGAGAGAGACCCTGTCTCAATAAAAAACAAAAAAACAAAAAATGGGAAACATCACAGTCAGAAGACCTGAGTTCTGGTCCCCACTCTGTTGTCACTCAGTGTGTGACACTAGGCATATAGCTTCCCTTCTCTAGGTCTGTTTTCCCATCTGCAAAGTAGAGATGGGTGGATAACTAGCGGCTATCCCCATGCCCCAACTTTGCCATGGCTGCTCTGAGAAGTGGTACTTTAGGTAATAGATGGAGCATTCTTTGCAAACTGTGAAGGACAGTGCCTCCTCCGCCGCCACTTCCCCTCCCATGTTTGTCCTCCGGCCCTGCCCCCTGCCTTCCTCAGCACTGGTGGTTGGATTCCTGGGAGCTCAGGCCCCTCCCATGCACTGAGTCTTCTTCCCTGCCCTTCCAGGGACCTACAAGTTCCAGAAGACAGAGCTACGGAAGGAGGGCTTTGACCCGGCTATGGTGAAAGACCCGCTATTCTATCTAGACGCCCAGAAGGGCCGCTACGTCCCACTGGACCAAGAGGCCTACAGCCGCATCCAGGCAGGAGAAGAGAAGCTGTGATTCCCCCCATCCCTCTGAGGGCTGGTGGATGCTGGATCCAGAGCCCCAGGTTCCGCCCCAGAGGGGTCCTGGACAAGGCCAGACCAAAGCAAGCAGGGCCTGGCACCTCCATCCTGAGGTGCTGCCCCCTCCATCCAAAACTGCCAAATGACTCACTGCCACCTCCCCAACCCTTCCAGAGGCTTTCTGTGAAAGTCTCATGTCCAAGTTATGTCTTCTGGGCTAGGCAGGCCCTCTGATTCCCAGGCTGAGACTGACGGGTCTTCTCAGGATGATGTCTTGGGTCAGGGCAGGTAAAGGACAAGGGGTCACCAAGCCCTTCCCAGAGAGCAGGGAGCTTGTAAATGGGATCAGGGCAGAAGTCCCCAGGAAGTCAACAGAGTGGGCAGAGACAGTGGTAGCCATCCATTGGGTAGCAAGAGGATCCTAGCCCCAGAGCTGCCCAAGTTCATTCGGCTCCACTCCCACCTCCAGGAGGGGAGGAGAGGACCTGGTGTCTGTAGGTAGCCCTGATGCCCCATCGACAGCAGGAGGTCAGGACTGCACCCCTGGTCTCTCCCCACTCCCCCATTCTCCTCGGGTGGCTGCCCGGCTGACCCTCAGGCAGGGCCTTTCAGTCCTTGTGAGTCTGTGTCATCTCCATCTCAGTCTTGGCCTGGCTATGAGGGGAGGAGGAATGAGGGAGGAGGGGGCTCAGGGACCAATAAACTCTTCCTTGAGTCCTCCTAGCCTATGTGCAAGCCACCCAAGCCCACCCTGACCCTAGAGCTCCACAGCCCCACTGTGGCCTCCTCGACCCCCCATGCCAAACCCCTGGCCCATTCACGGCCCCATCTGTTCATTCACTCATCTAAACGGAGGCTGCGGCAGGTCAGATGTGCAGCCCCAGCACATCAGTGTGCTGGTTCAGGCGGGGGCAGTGCCCATTCAAGTCTGGCAAGGTGTTTAAGTGTGGGCTTGAAAGTCCATACCAGTTCTGTCGCTCTTAAGTGTGTGGCCTTGGGCAGATGACTCAGTCTCCTCACCTGTGAAATGGGATTCATCAGTTAAAAGGATTCGGGAGCTGAATGTGCCATCAGCAGGAAGGGGTTGAAGGGGAAACCCCCTCAGGCAGGATCCTGACTCCACAGCGGCTCTATCTGCCTGAGGTGTATTTTCTGAGTTCTTTAGGGGCTGGAAAGATCTGCAGGGGTGGGGGCTGCTGTGAGAGCCAAAGCAAGGCTGCCCAGCCAGAGGCCTGGGAAGCTTCCCGGAACAGTCAACACAGCTGCCCCACCAGCAGTGCCAGTGGAGAGCCAGCTGTCTCCTAGGCCCTGGTGGAGGAGTCACACTCAGGCTGGAAACTCACTGTCCAGTGGGAAGAGGTTCCAACACAGCCCAGCGTGGGGGGCGGGGGGCGGGGGGCAGTGCGAGCTCCTGCGCCTTTATCTTCACTGTGGGCTTTCTAAGGAAAGAACCAGAACTTGGAGGTTTTCAGTCACGTGGCCAAGGTCACACAACAAGTAGAGGGGGCTGGAATGGAGCCCCTGCCTTTCCTGCCACACCACCGCGCCTCCTGGTGCAGAAGGTGAGGGAAGCCAGAAAAACCTCCATTCCACGCATGCCTGCAGAGTCGCCTCAGCCATACCCTCGACTAGCAGCTGACAGTTCAGGCAGAGGGTGGCCACACTGAAAGCTGGGGTGCCTCCTGGGGGAGTGCACTTGGAAGGACAGAGGAGTCCAGTGCTTGTTTCGGGAGAATTGCGGGTGCAGGGGCAGAACGAGTCGGGGGGCCTTGTGGAGCGATGCTGAGTGGCGTGGCGTGGTGTGGCAGGCATGGCTGCTGTGCCTGAGTGTGGCCAACAGAGGGCGCATGGAGCTTGGCGAATCCACTCCTGGCCTTAGCCGAGGGAAGCCTGGAGAGGCTGAGTCTCACCTCATCCCGCAGCAGGTAGCATACTCAGGACCCTGTGGCAGTCTTCTGAGGGCCTGAATTTGGTTGGCAGTGTGGCTTTGTGTCTTTAACCCTCAGCAGTGAGTTCACAATGGGAAGAAGGAGCCTCCAGAGGGGGCATTCCTTGTTCCAGATTGAACACAGTCACCTGAAGGCAGTGTGCAGATGATTAAGGTTGTTAAGCATGGGGCCTGGGCCTGATCCTGGTGTCCGCTCAGTGCTTGGTAGTTAACAGAGAAAAAGGAGAATGTTTAGATTTTAAGACCCATGACTAGGCTAAGTTTCCCACTTCTGCACTGGACCCTACCACAGCCCCTCCATGATGGAGAGTCCTGGTGGGCCTGTGACCCCTCCAGCTCACAGGTCTGCATCTGATCATACCTCAGCCATGGCCATGTGAGTCATCTCCATGCATGCAGCAGGTGCTTAATACATGCTTGTGACGTTCACAGACAACAATAGCTATTGTTTCTCAGGCATTTCCTGACATTTATATAGTGCTCCACAGTTTACAGAGCACCCTGTAAGTTCATCTGTGGAGCAAATTCTAGAGGCCTACCCTGTGCAGAGAGGGCAGGGAACTGCCAGGTGAGCAGGATAGAGACCTGGGTCCTAGGTCAGCTCTCGGGGAGCCACAGTCTCCAGAGAGGTGTGTGGTGAGTAAAGAAGCCAAGGCGGTGGGCTTAGCTGCACCCAACCCCGCACGCCGGCTGGGTATATCGTGGCCAGGGAGGGCTTTCCAGGAAGATTGTTCCAGATGGAGGGAGCAGCCACATGTAGAGGCCTGGAGGTCCAGGGCAGATTAAAGGACAGGCATGCCGGGCCCAGGCGGGCAGATCATTTGAGGTCAGGAGTTCAAGACCAACCTGGCCAATATGGTGAAACCCCATCTCCACTAAAAACAAAAATTAGCCTGGCATGGTGGCGGGTGCCTGTAATCCCAGCTACTTGGGAAGCTGAGGCAAGAGAATCGCTTGAAACCAGGGAGGTGGAGGCTACAGTGAGCCGAGCTCATGTCACTGCTCTCCAGCCTGGGCGACAGAGCAAGACTCTGTCTCAAATACATAAATAAATAAATAAGGACAGGCAGCGAGGCTGCAGGGTTGGGGAGGAGGGTTACTGTTGAGGCAAGATAGGAAAAGTGAATCCTTAGTGGGTACTTCTGTTTGCATGCCTCTAGAGAAGAGGGAGCTCTGCAGTTCCAAGTATCAAGTCAAACCCACTTCTTTAGGCGCTCATTAATGACCACAATGTACAGCGCACTTCTATGTGCCAGGCCCTGTGCAAAGCGCTTTCTGTGCTGCATGATTTCATTAAATCCTCCTATTCAACGCAGGTTCTATTTTTTAATTTCTTTTTTCTTTTTTTTTTCTTTTTGAGACAGAGTTTTGCTCTTGTGACCCAGCCTGGAGTACAGTGATCTCGGCTCACTGCAACCTGCACCTCCCGGGTTAAAGCAATTCTCCTGCCTCAGAGTCCCAAGTAGCTGGGAGTACAGGCGTGCACCATCACGCCCGGGTACAGACGGGGTTTCACCATGTTGGTCAGGCCGGCCTTGAACTCCTGACCTCAAGTGATCCACCCACCTCAGCCTCCCAAAGTACTGGTTTTACAGGAGTGAGCCACTGCACCCAGCCCAAAGCAGGGTACCATTTTTATCCTCATTTCACAGATGAGGAATTTGAGGCTGAGAGAGGCAAAGTCTCTCCAAGGGCCACAGAGCTTGTGAATGGCAGAGCTAGGAGGAAAGTCCCCTTCCCTGTGCCTCAGTGTTCCCATCTGCAACCTTTCTGCTCCAGGGGAGGCTGGAAGGGGCCAGCCTCACGCTTCCGGAGGTCCGGCCGCCCTCGGGACAGCCAAGTGGCTGCCCAGGCCACTGCGTGGCATATCACTTTCAGTTCCTGGGAAGAAGGTTAAATACCTCCGAGGGCCCATTGAGGCTGCAACAGCAAAGGAGGGGGTGATCGAGTGACTTTCAAAGGGGCCTGAAATGCGTGGCTGGCCCCTCCCCCCAAGGAGGGGGCCCTGCTTCCTCCCGGCCTAATGATATTCTGGGCTCAGCCCTCGTCTTTGGCGGCAGTTTAACCCAAGCCGGGACGGATTTCTTTCTCACTGATCTCAGCTTGACACCCAATTAGCACAAGAATGGGAGGAGGAAGCCTGTGAGAGGCGCCTCCCAGCCTCCCGGGGCGCGAGAGGGGCGCAGGCGGGAAGACAAAGGACAGCAGGCAGGGGGGCACCCTCGCCCTCGCCTCCCCCACCGACCCTGCCATTGTCTCCCTAGGCCTACGCCCGGGCTGGCCAGCCTGCTGGAGGGGACAGGGGATGGGGCCCAAGCCCCTGATCTGTGTGGACCCGAAGGGAAAGTCTTTGGGTGAGGCTAGTCCAAGGGGAGGCAGTGAGGTCAGTGTGCAAGGGCAGGGATCCCGAGGGCACAAAAGCCTGGGCTGAGGCCTCACGGGTGCTCAGGCCAGCCACCCGTTTGGAGTCTCAGTGCTCTCATGTGAAAATGGGATCATGAAGAGTCCCTGTGAAGAGTCAATTAGGGGGTGTGTATAATGTACCTGGCAGGTGCAAAGTGGGCGTGCAATAAATACTCTTTGAAAGATGCTAAGCTAATATCGTTACTAACTGAAGGGTGGAGTGGAATAGGCTTGGGTCAGAAGGAAGGACTTTATCAGTGATAGCTGGGCATCCACAGACTGGGCTAGCTTACTCAAAGAGCTCCCCAGTCTCTGGGCTAAGCCAGAAGCTGGAGGACAACTGCCTGGTGAGATTCCAGGAGGGAGGGAGTGTCTCTGGCCCTGTGCATAGACTCCCTCCACCTCCTTTACGCTTCCTGTGGGAAGCCTTCCAGGATCCCAGGGCTAGGTTAGGGACCTCCTCCAGTTCCTACAGGCCCCATGTTCTCCCCCCATAGCATGGATTGCTCTGCAGCTTCTGTTGTTCCCTCTATGTGGTCTTCTTGAATGTCAGCCCAGGAGGGCAAGGAGACTCAAAGGTTTGGGATTTTTCATTTTGTTTTGTTTTTTTGAGATGGAGCCTGGCTCTGTCGCCCAGGCTGGAGTGCAGTGACACGATCTCAGCTCACTGCAACCTCCACCTCCTGAGTTCAAGCGATTCTCCTACCTTGGCCTCCTAAGTAGCTGGGATCACAGGCATGTGCCACCAAGCCTGCCTAATTTTGTATTTTTAGTAGAGATGGGGTTTCACTATGTTGTCCAGGCTGGTCCCGAACTCCTGACCTGAAGTAATCCACCCACCTCAGCCTCCCAAAGTGCTGGGATTACAGGCATGAGCCACTGCTCTGGCTAACTTGTATTTGTATTTGTATTTTTTTATTTTTTATTTTTGAGACGGAGTCGGAGTCTTGCTCTGTCACCAGGCTGGAGTGCAGTGGCGCAATCTCGGCTCACTGCAACCTCCGCCTCCTGGGTTCAAGTGGTTCTTCCGCCTCAGCCTCCTGAATAGCTAGGACCACAGGTGCGTGCCACCACGCCCGGCTAATTTTTTTGTATTTTTAGTAGAGATGGGGTTTCACTGTGCTGTCCAGGCTGGTCTCGAACTCCTGACTTCAAGTAATCCACCTGCCTCAGCCTCCCAAAGTGCTGGGAGTATAGGCTTGAGCCACCACACCTGGCCTACCCACAGGTTTTGTTCACCATTGTGTTCCCAGCAGCAACACTGGCCCTGGTGTGTAATAGGTTCCGAGTGAAAGTTTGTCAGGTAGATGAAGCTCTTCAAATGCCCCCAAATGCTCCATTCTAGTTTTCGGAGGCAGTTTCCAGGTCAGAA